GAGAGAGAGAGAGAGAGAGAAATATAATTTTCTTTATATGAACAGGCACGCCGTCGGCTGACAATCCAATACCCGGAATGAATTCAACTTCATCACTGCTTGAACGACTTACCGCTTCTTCCAATCAAAGTAGCCAACCAGCGAGTCCAATGACCAACCCGTCTCCAACTAACGTGAATCTACAAGGCGTGAACCTCACTAGTCTGCCGAATTCCATCAATGGTCTACAAAACGTTCAGGTTATTTAAAATAGTAGTTTATTTTTCTCATAGAAGTCAATACAGATTGAAATGAATTAATGTATTGTCCATTTCAGGTATCGTTCCCAGGCTTATCGCAACCTATTACGATGTCGTTGAATGTGTCTCCAACTACTGGTGGAACCGTCACACCTACTGGGGTTATTGTTTCTCTTCCTATATCGTCTGCCACAAATACTTGTACGACAGTATCAAGTGTTAGTATCCTGTTTATACAAGTAATTCTTTTAGTGCAAAACAGTTTAAAGTACAATTCTCTCCATGAATTAATAATAAATAAAATATTTTTTATATATGTATATATAAATTCTCATATATTAAAATGTTATTTGCATTGAAAGAGTTAATATCAATGTGTAAAATAGCAATCTTCCCTCATAGGATATGTAAAGAAAAAATAAAAGCATTTTTTAAATATAATCTGAATGCAAACTATCGATTGAGCATGCAAAGAACTTGATCGGTCCAGCCATTATTAAGATCCGATAATTTCGGTCTTCTGTAACTTCGCATAAAGGAATGCAGCCGGTCTCGCACTGTATGATGTTGCTGCGTTTGTCTTAGCGCCGAGACATTGCCGTGTCTCCAGATACATGTAACAAATAAATAAGTTTATAAGTAATTTATATCATCTAAACATTACACTATTTTTACAGATGGTAGCCGCAACTGTTGTTACAACAGCTATCGCTGGGAGTACGCCAACGGTAGTAATCGCTAATCCTGCCAATGTCAATGCGCACTTGTCTTTACCAATCGGTAATATATAATCATATCCCATCATGAATATTATTGATTGAATTGTATTTCTAAATTTATTCTTTCTTAAATATTTCATGCTAAATATTTACATTAAAAAAAAAGATATTTTACAAAATTTTTTACTTTATAATTTTATTTATAAAAAACATTGAAAACCTTATTGTTCATAAGAAACATTAATTAGAAACTTAAGATATGATTACATACGTATCTAATATATATATATATATATATATATCATTTTTGAGACATTTACTCTATTGTTATGTATACAATATTTTTAGATATTTAAAAATTGATCATATATATTTTTCAGCCCAATTAATACCATCTGGAGTGAAAGGATTGTCGCAGCAAAATAGGAGTAATAACGCAGTGGCTCTTGCACAGGTAATTTAATACTCTTAATATTTAATATTAATAAATTAATTTAATACTCTGAAACACTACAACTTTTTTACATTATTACATTATATAATAACGGCATATAATATTCTATAATATTAGAATATCTAGAATTAAGTAGAAAAGATAGAATTTTTATATTAATTATTAAAATATACAGTATAGCATCTTTTGCAAGAAATGCATTCATCAACACTAATTAATTTACGTAACATTATGTAATTTTAGGGAGGACAAGCAATCCAACTTATTGGATCTCAAAGACAACGATTTAATCATATGACTCGTCAAGTACAATCGAATCAAGTTAAATCGGCTGTCTTATCGAATCAATTGGTAACAGTTGCCAAAACTGTAACGGCCAGTCAGCTGATATTGTCTGGTAATAAACAAGTATTAACTCCTATAATGGGTAAGTCAATGCCAAATCTATATTCATATCCATTGCATGGAAATAATAGTATAAGCATAGTACTTTATGTCAACGATATCTATATAAATCTTCTACTTCGCAGCCGCGACGAAACCTGTGCTTATGGCGTCACAGACGACGCCTTCTTCCCAAGTAGTACCTGTTAATAAACAAACTCTATTGACAAAATCCTTGCATGCTAGGGCTTCTACCGGTCAATGCAGTCAACAGACACAAAGTCTCGGGGTGACTACTTTATCACAACAACAAGTATGTTTTAATTAAGAGATTACTAACTAAACTTTTTTTTAATATTGTTTTAATTTTTTTAATATTTTAATATTTAATAAACTTAATTTTAATATATCAAGTAATATTGTTTTATTCTAAATTAAAAGAATCAGTTTGCATAGGAACTAAGAAATGATTATTTTGATTTTACAGCTTCAGCAGTTACTAGCTGCACAGCATAAAGTTGCCGTCGCGACGGGAAGTTCTCAAAATAGGACGCAAATTGAAGCTCAGAGAAATTCTACGTCTGCCCCAGGGGAAGACCCCGCCTGAATATGTTCAAATAAATGATAACGATCATGTTACGTCGAAATAATTGAAGCCCGCCCCTGAAAGAAATGTAAAGAGGCATTTGTATATTACATCATGATTATCAATGAGATTGATTTAATTTTTGCATATGAAAATTGTATAATGAATTGCGTTTTTCTTTTAAGTCATTTATTTAATTACAAAGAAATTTTACTCTAGCAACAATATACAAAAATATTTTACCAAATCAGTATTACGTAATATTTATGATCATGTGCAATAAATGCGGTTCTCTCAAATATCTGCCTTAAAATGTTACTTTAGGGAAGGTTTCAATTATTGTACATATAACTTGTGTATATATATATATATACACACACAATACGATTTGTTTTATATTAAAAACATAATAAATATTCCAGTTTTTATTGATCTTCATCCCTTTTTTAGTACCAATAATAATTCTTGTATTCTTAATCTATTTTATGAGTACTGACAAGAACAATATCAAAACTTACAAGCCTATTTTATTTAATATTAAAATTTATTCCGTTACTTTCGAACTTTTTTCCAAAGAACTGTCATTTATGGTAACATTTATTTGTTCATTTTGATATGCCTGTATATACAGTTTTTATTTGTAATCGTAAAAAAGTATATATATGTTATACATACACAAAATATTTTTTTGGTATTTTTAACATATAAAATGTCAAAAAATATCCATACATAAAACTTTAAAAATTTAGCAAAATATGTAGATTGCATTTTTTTAACCTTATCATACAATGTTTATCGGATATCTACTATTCCATATAAATATAAAACCAAAACAAAATAAACAATCGCTAGCATTTAAAAAATACCAAAAAGATATTTTATTAATACTTATGAAATAGCATTAAAACTGTTTATAAAATGAATATTTTCTTATATTATTTCCTTTACAAGTCATTTGAAATTTATATCTAACAAAGTATTTTTTTTAATCAATCTATATTTTCGTTATTTTTTATATATATTATATAAACAGAATTAATCTGGTTGCTGACTTGAGTCATTCGTTAGCATTTATTCTACTTATCCTACTTTAAATAAAATAACACAACAATAAGCGTAACCATTCACATTGTAATAACACCACGTAAGATTTTTATATCAATATTTTATAAAAAGGAAGATTTGTCAAAGAGATTAACTTTTCTTTTATAATACTTCTTTAATGAATTATTCATAGATGTAACAAATAGAAAAACAGTTTATAACAAAATAAAAAATTTAACTCGTTAATATCAAAATCGCATATGTTTAAATACAAATATTTAAAATATTGTATTGTTTAAATCTACAATGAGTAAAAAAATTATTTGCACACCTATTTGGAATTTAATAGGAATATTTCACAGCAACTATTATTTATATTTTTTATATTCTCATTTTGTGAACAAAATTATCCCAAAGTATAAGCAAATTTTCTTTTACACGTTATACAATTCGGATCTTGTACAAAATAAAATATGTATATTCTCTAAAATAGATAATCATAAACTCAAATTTTAAACATATATAAAAAAAAATTATTAAATATTATTAAAAGCTAAACTGGTCATAATCAAAATAGTTATAAAATTATATTTCGCAATATATAATCTGTATAATCTATAATAATCAAACCTAGCTGTACGATCACAAAAGATTTGTTACGTTAAAAAAAAAAGATAATTAACGTTAGAAAGATGATGACAAATTATTCTATAATCTCTCTTAAATATTAAGATGTTCTTAAACTATTTATTCTAGTTTCACAACCTCCAGATTCGGCATGTTTCAACAACTTCTTAAACGATAACAAAATTATGTTAGAGGTAGTTACTATTGCATAATTATTTTTATTAAAATTTTTCAGAAAACGTTTGCAGATATTTATTATATAAAAGTTATAAGAGAGAATTAATGTGTATATAGGAGACAAAAGAATCTGAACAAAAGAATCTCTTATTCAATATATGCGTACGAATATATATAACGAGCGATAAATAATTATAATGAAAATAACTTATATTCTTATATCCATTGAAATTTTGGTCTCATTACTATTAACATATGTCTTATAATTAGTAAAAAAAGTCATAGAAAAATTCTAGAAAATTGTGATGAAGAGACTTTACAGTAACGGAAAAAGAAAATAATTATACGTTAGATTATATTGATTGACTACAAAAAATTACTTTTAAAGTTAAAATAATAATTATTAAAGTAAAAAAGTATTTAGGATAATATCTAAAATCATATATGTTTGAACATATACATTCTTTAAAGAAACAAATATTAAAAAGAACGAAAAGGACGTTATATCTTTTTTAAATGACAAGTTGTTTATTTAGAGAAAACTTATAGTTTGGAAACATGATCTCCGGACTCAAGTTTGTTCGTTCAATATACCCTCAAAATTAGCTGTAATTTTTTATATATAAGCAGAACATACCATGAGATTTTTTAAATTGTAGACTAATAATTAGAGAAACAGTTTTATATATATACCAGTTGTAAATAACTTAGGGATAATTTTTTTTATTCAAAAATAGAGTCACTATTTATAGTTAAAAAAATAATCATTTAATCTTTAATATATATATATATATCTATTCCAAATTCATAAAATATCATTTTCTTTTCTGAAGTTTAGTCTACGCATCGCCCTTTATTTTCAGTTATTTATTATTCATATTGCACTCGATATATTGCATCTCGATATTTTTCTTAAAAAAAAATTGGTTTTCTAGAGTGTCTTTCTAGAGTCAAAAATACCGATGAGTTTAGAATCCCATGTTCACCGATATATCAGTCTCTTTATGTGAGATAATGTACCAATTCACGCAAACATCGTTATTATCATTGATTTTCCAAATCCAGTAGATTTGGATTAAGAGTAGAATACTGTTGCACGTCATAAAGACGCTTAAGATGCATGTTGCATCATTTTGGCATGTATTCGATAATTGTGCTTGTGTATTCAATGTTTCATCTTAATTATATCTTGCAAGAACATACAAAAATATAGATGTTTTAATAGAGTCGCGGATAGTTAACTTCGAATATCATACATATAGAATACAGTAAAAGGCATTTATAGTGCTGTATATATAAATCTATGTACAAATCCATTATCTCTAAAAATTTTATTTGGTAATTACAATAACGATAAAATATTTCAGACTATAACGTTAAAGACGCTTTCAGATTAAAATTATACATTTAGATGTCTAGATGGAAAAGTAACAACAAAAAGTTTTGTAAAAGGTTTTTAAAATTTTTCAAAATCTTTGATTTATATTTTTACAAATATCTCACAAAATATTTGTGAAAATATAAATATACCATAAAGATACATATAATTAAACTCATCTTATAGAACATTTTAATTTAAATGTTAAATTATAGTTTTATTTGGTATATCATATAAGATAATCATGAAAACTAGATGACAATAATAAAAATCATGAATTGATTAATTTTTCCTTTTAAAATTACTGAACAATTTGTGTTACTTTTCGTACGTTTGAATAAATAAATACATTAAAATATTTCAATCTCATCATTTTATAAATTTTTTTATGGTTAATTAAATAGCGCATATATGTTCTTGCAAGCTATTATCTAATAAGACACATCTTTAATTATATATGGTAACAATAACAAGCTATTATCTTATTTCTATAGCAAGTTTGTGGATGGTTGATCTACTTCCGGCCGACTATCCGGAGATTTAAGTATTTCAGCTTGCTCTAGATTCTTTTCCACTTCCCATTCACTTTCTGGATCAGAGAATATATTCGCGCTATCCAGTATATCGTCTTCTACCGATAAATCCGACAAATTCTCCATGCTTCGTAGATTTTCGTCGGTATAAAGAGACTCTGTAGTTACTGCACATATTTTTTAAAATTTCAATTAAAAATTTATTTAGATTAACGATTAAAATTGGATAATTCAATTTAACATTAAAATATTGTCATAATCATGAATTGTTGATGTTTCTTATGAAAATAAAATGTCAATTACCGTCAAGTGTGTGCTGAGATAACCATGAAGGTTCATCCCATTCATCGAATTGGAGTTTTTTATTGGTCTCAACTTCATCTATGGAAAGCATGGTATGAGATTCTGATTCCGTTACATCGAAGATTTCTGTCACTTGCACTTTATTGTTATCATCCATGTAATAATATGCTATTACTGCCTCTTGATCCGAAGTTGCCTGGTAAAAATTATAAGATTCGATGTAAAAATTGATTTTAAAAATCTATTTAAACTATGTTTTAAACATAGTTTACACTATTATTCTTATTACTTACTTGGAGAATATTTTCGAAAGTATCGTCCACTGATGCAAAGTCGCTCATATTTATTACACAACTCGATTTTCTTGAATCTTTCCATTGCTCACTATAACAAAAAATGTTTTAAACAATAATGAACATTAATTCAAAAATTTGTTAAATGTAATTTTACAAAAGAACTATCTCCAAAAATTACTTACCATTCGTTGTATTGGAGAGTCAAATTCAGATTCTTTTGCTTTTTATATATAATGTCTGTTTCTTCTATAGCTTGCACATCGTACGTATCTGTAAACATTTGAAAATATAAGAATCCAAATGTCAAATATTTAGGCCATATTCTTTTCACATGTGTTATATTTATAAGGCAATTAGACAATAAAAAATGTTATTATAATTTAAAAATTTATTAATCAATTTAAAGATTCAGAAAACTTATTGATGGTCGGGATATACTCACTCGAATCATATTCCATAATGTTGAAATAACATTTGATTGTTTGAGGCAAAGGCTCGGCATAGATATTGATTTTTGGGAACATTATACTCAATTGCTCCAAGAAAAGTTTAGTTAATTCTATTAAATTATGTCGTAGTTTCGGGACACTCGTAATGAATCTGAAATAAGAAAAATATGCTTTTCATTAATTTCAAAGCAAATTATAAAATATTCCAAGCATTTAAGTATATTATTACAAGCAGACATCTGTCCGTCGATATATTTTCATTTATTACTTTTTTTTATCTTTTGCACCTTTAGAAAATATATAAATTCGCAACTAATATAAAAATTCGCGCGCATATTAGAGTACTTTCATAAAAGAAACTGATAAGGACTCAATATGTCAAAATATATTTACAATTGAAAATAAGACAATAAATGCTTTGATGCTTTGATTTTTGATAATTTCATAGATACACCTTAGGGTTTAGGGTATGACGAAATAAAGAAAGCATTACATCTGAAAATTTTATGCTTACCGAGAATGTGTTAAATGTTTATTGCGAGTAAGTGCCTGTTGCGGGATACGCAGAATATTTCCGACTACTTTGTATTCCAAGGTACGAGTTTCTATCTTGTTACCAATCAGACTACCAATGACATGCATGATGTTAAATACAATATCACAAGTGATAATTATGCATGAAATTGCATCAATTGACTAAATCTGTGATATGTATCAATGTTGACAATGTTGCGCATGCAATGCAGTGCAATAGAAAATAATAAAACAAAACTTAAGGTGAGATTCCTCTAAAGGATTACCTATTGCAATCTCTTAAACTTCAAAAAAATCTTCAAAAAATTTATAAAATATTCGAAATAATATAAAATAATGAAGCCAGCAATATTCAATTTAATTTTTATACAGATAATCACAATAGTGATTTATTCTCATATAAATTATAAATTTTTTCGTTCAGTTAAAATAAGATAAGGTTTTCAATCAATATGTCATCGAGAAATGTTTTTCAAAACGAAGCATAATAATTTTTATTCTAAAAATATTATAAATCTATACTTTATATAAAGAAATAGTAACTACAAAATTTCGAACACGAAAACAAATATATGTATATAAAATCTCAAATTTTTATATTTGTTTTTTTTTTTAACAAAAAATATTTGCTTTGAAAATCATCTTCTAGACAGAAATATTTTTTAATGATTGATCTGCAATATTTAATAATATTAAAAAATATTAATTTACGAAGTATATACATATATTTGCAGCATGCAACATCACCAATTAATGAAAATAAATTAATGAAAAGCATTGAATATGATATTTATTTTTAAATATATATGCGTGCATTTGTATAAAAAATCCTCCATTTCCTATATGAAGCATATATGTGATGCAGTATTTACATGCACATATATTTCAATAGCTACTTACTTTGTGATTGTAGCGTACATTACATCTGCCGGTAGCGTGCAAGGCAAACTCAATAACGACAGTAACTTCATGCTACGATGTTTGAATAACCAGTTAATAAGTCCCTTGTTGGCCGAATCTATAGCATCTTGAAATATTGTCATCACAGTCTCAGGCATATTAGCTACCAATGCTTCCTAAAAATGGAATGTCAAGAACATAAAAAAAATAAGAATAATTTAAGATTATTTAAGAAAATTAATTGAATTTTTTAATTAAACTTTAAAAGAGTGAAATATAAATATTATCAAATATATTATTGTTGAAAGTATTGTGAATCTCTTTCACCTGTCTGTGCATTTTACATTCCAAACATTCTGGATCATATTCCATACTATCGTCGATCGTTTCCTGAACTATGTATGTGGACTGAACCGCGAGACACCTCGTGCAGTTTAGTAGATTATTACGATGTAGAAATCGCAATGCATCGTCAAATCCTTGCTTACACATATTCGAGAGTATCTATAATTTAAAAGTATATTAAATTATGTTTATTTAATACAGTATCAAAAGACATAATTAATATTTTCATTTTTACCTCCGTTTTAGGCGGAAAGAGTATTTTCGTGAACCTGTACATATTTTGTCTGGAAAGTTCTATGCTTGTATTGGCGACATTGACCTGCAAGATACAAGGATATGTATAATTAATGATAATTATAAAATCTAATCAGGATTAACTAGGTGAACGTATGCTTAAATTAATTACATGTATTATCGAAGATATTTAAATTTTTTTAACAAGAAATTAGTTTATTAATACGCGCAATCAATACGTACGTGAAAAAGTTGAGATGAAATGTCCCTCGGACATATATCGCTTTCTCCGCAGAACGGACTAACGGTAATAGTATTTTCATCGAGCGTAGGAAGATTATCGCTAAAACCACCGTCCATGTATCTGATGCCGTGGAATCGTGGTGGCAGCAAACCAGAAAATAGTGGCACGAATGAAGAGGCTAATAGAGCCTGTAGACAACCGAAAACATAAAAGACTAAATAATTCCTCAAGGAAAAGAAAAATTGTTACAATTGGCATGAAAAAAGACTTTAAAATTTGTGCATACACGAAATTTTTCTGAAGAGATAGAAAATTATTTTTCAAGATATTTCCTGATATCCTGATCTTTCGTTTTACTAAAAATTTATCGCGAATAAATGTTTCACAATCTAACATACAATATATACTTTTCTTACCTGCATCAAATCATCCTTTGAGTTGAATTGAGAAACGATCACATTCTTACCGTCATAGACTCTCGTTAGAGAGATATGCAATTTTCCGTTAACACGAATATGTGCGTCATCTGGTAAAAACTGGAGTAAGAATAAGATAGTAAGAATAAAAATAAAAATAAAAATAAAAATAAATAAATGTAACATGCACCTCTATTATAAGTAATCTGAATTAGAGATTTATATAAATATAATAGCTCTATTGCTTGCACTTTTTGCACTCATTTTCAATATCTTAATTCACTTTCTTTCTTTTCAACGAATATACATTTGTTCAGTCAAAATTGCCAGAATGCGCAATTACTATTCTATCTAAATGAATTTAGATATGCAATTTAGATTTGCAGAGCTCGAAGCTTCGTTTTGCATACATTGTTTTACATTGTTGGATAATGCCAAAAATATCATTCATGTCAGGTAAAAAATTTTTTTTGCACGAATATTTAATACAAATATAAAAGTACATAAATATGTATAAACATATTTCATATATATAATTTATATTTATATGTGATTTTATATATGTCATGAATATTTATGCATATTTGTGTATGTTTATACATATTTATATATATTCATGCATGAAAAATTGTTTAGCGAGAAGTAGAACCAGACTGCCAGACGCAAATTCTAATATGGAATGTCATCATTCTTTATTCCACTCCACTCACCTTCCGCAAGCCATCCAGTAATATTTCTTGTATATTGAAAGATGGACTGAACGGTCCGAGCGTACGTTGTCGTGCTTCACGTGCCACACGTAATACGTTGCTCGTCATTTCGCCTAAAAAGAGAGAAAAAATAATCATGAATCAGAGCAAGACCAATCTGAGATTATTATTCGCGAATTTGCCACCGATACATCATTGGAATTCGATGAATCCATCCATTCATTTACGATACTTAATGGAGAGGCTGCATAAGTTATCGAGTGAAGCAAGTTCTCAAATAAGAATATTCGAAAGTATATAACAAAACCAAATGCAACAAAGTCCCGTTAATAATCATATTATCGCAATTTCACGCAACCAATTTCTTTAAGTAAAATTTATTTAATCAAATATATTAAAGGATTTACGGTTGATATAAATAATCAAATTCTATTTTAAGAGACCATTTTAACCGAAGAAATACAATCGCTTACAAATGTTTAAAAAAGATCATTTTAAAATTTATACAAAATTTATAATGTAAAAATATGTTATACGTCAAGTAATTTTAAAAAGATCCTAATAATTGTAAATGTACAAGAACAATCTTATAAATAATATTAAAATGATATGAATATGCCTTTTAATTTATGACATTTTAAGATAGTTTTAACTAAAGAATGAAATCTATGTATCATTCAAAGTTACAGATAATTAATATCATTTTTTAGAGATACAAATATATGTATAATTTGCAAATCTGTATGTGTATATATGTATAT